ATCAAGCAATCGTGGCTATCTAGTAAAGATGCTATAACTATTGATGTGTTTCATTCCATTCTTCAGTCGAAAGCTTGTTGAATTTTGTTTGCTTGGAGCGTCACAGAAGAATTTAATCTCGATTGACCCAGGAGCTTAATAATGGTTTTACAATATTGATACAAACGCATGGTTTAATATTTCAATGTGAGGCATCGATGACAATTAAAATATTTTCCGAATCCACTTGGCCATCTCCAGCCCGGTGAAGTATTTAATATGCTGTAGAGTATATACACGCTGTAGAAGAGTAACTCCGTATGTTATGGCTTCGAAGGTTAGTCCAGTGTAGCCGCTTCGACATAACTAAATTGGACCAGCTTCATCATTGTGCTCAAGTAGCAAGAATAGTTGAATAATCTGACATACCTTGAGGTACGTGACTTAACTTAGTTCAAGGTTACAGGGTACGTGACCTAAATCAGTTCTAGGTCACAGGATACGTGACCTAACTCAGTTCAAGGTCAGGATACGTGATCTAACTCAGTTCAGGGTTATGCGGTACGTGGGTACGTGACCTAACTTAGTTTAAGGTCACAGAGTACGTGACCTACCTTAGTTCAAGGTTACGGGGTACGTGACCTAACTTAGTTCAAGGTTACGGGGTGCGTGACCTAACTTGGTTCAAGGTTACGAGGTACGTGACCTAACTCAGTTCAAGGTCACAGGATATGTGATTAACTCAGTTCAAGATTGCGGGGTACGTGACCTAACTTAGTTCAAGGTTACGAGGTACGTGACTTAACTTAGTTCAAGGTTACGGGGTACGTGACCTAACTTAGTTCAAGGTTACGGGGTATGTGACCTAACTTAGTTCAAGGTTACGGGGTACGTGACCTAACTTAGTTCAAGGTTACGGGGTATGTATGTTTTTTCTTGCAGATTCTTTCAGATTATTAGATACTTAGATTGTTACTAAATGATAGTTAGGCGTAAACCAAAAACTGTTTAGGCAAGGGGCTAAATGGACCAGTTTCCAGTGCTCCTATAAGAAGTAACGAGAAGAAGAAGAAGACCGCCGTGTCGGTAAGTGTATGCATTAGACTTGCATTTTAAGAATAAATAGAAATTTCTAGGAAGATTTATTTCTTTGAGTCTTTAAACCCTTTACCCTTATTCGTCGTCATTGTGCATTGATTTCATTTTTTTTTGTCAACGCGCCGCTCGTTAAAGTAAGATATTACATCGAGCGGCGCGTTGACCAAAAATGAGTACCGGTAGCGGGTAGCCTATCACTGACTGAGCGACCGGAGCATTTCATGTAATAAATATATTATTTTAGTGATTCCGATATTATTTTTGAAATGAGTTATGCATATTTGACGCAACAACACGTATTCAAGATCTCAAGTGAGCACTGATTTTGTTTACCTCTTGCACATAGGCTGACAATCCTGACATAGCTATGATCCGGTTAGGCCTAGGTATTAATTTTCTAAGGCACTTTCTGTTGATCAAGGAAAAACTGCATCATGCTTTTTTTTATTGTGTAGAGAGTGCTCATCAGTCATCATCCTTTTTTTAAAATCCAGAGTAAATTTGTTTATAAACTAAGTTTACTTTAACTTCATATGAATACATGTTGTACCTAGACAGTAAACTTGTAGGCCTAGTTATGTAGGGTAGCTAGTAGCTATATAGCTTTCCTTAGGCTTATTTCATAAAAACATATAACTCATCACATCATTATTAATTATAAAAAAGATATAGGTATTTGAATTTTAATTTAATAATATACTTTTATAATTTGAAATTTTTTTTAATTAAATTGATTTGTGCAGCCAAAATAGGTAGGCTAATGCCTAATACTAATTGTAATACCCACGTAGAGCTAGACGCTAGAGGCTAGACCTAGAGTGAGTATCAGAGTTTCAAAGCTCTCTTAGCCCAATGACAAATATTTACCTATGGAGGATGGACCTACAAAATTGACAAATGTGTAATATAAAAAATTTATTATATAAACATGAAAACAATTGTGGAAAACATTTAGAGAAGTGCATGCTGCATGGAAATATTAAAAAAAAATTATTTAAATTAAATTTAGCCATCAAAAAAATTACTAACATAACACATCAATTAGCATATTAAAAAATTTTTCAGTGACAGTATGGTGAACTAATTCTTTGCTCTGAACTCTGAAGTTCTTGACTAATTTGTGATTGAAGCTAAATAATTATATATTTAAATACTCTGATCTCACAATGATTTATATAAATACTCAATGTCTCAATCCAAGCATTGAGTGAGCATAATATCCAAGCATTTTTTTATTGCTCACTGACACTGAAATACTTAATTGATAATAAAATATTTATTTAATGAGTTAACTTCATCTGTACCATCAAACTGATAATTTAAATATTTCTAAAATTTATACAACTAATCTGCTGTGACTGTGATCAAATACGTACTATATATATTTTAAGAGTTATTTCTGACAGACTTGGCAACATATTTGGAAATTGTGAATGAATTTTTGAATGCCCAACAGCCTTAAATTGAACTTGCCAGCAAATGTGTTGCCTTTGAAATGATTGGTGCCAGATAGACTCCTGCGTTTGGTATTTTTTTTAATCCGAGACGAGACGAGACGAGACAACAGGCTCTGTCCCGGTTCGCAATAAAAACCGGGACAATTTTCAGCCTTCCGTTGGAATTCCGGGACGATACCGAGACGAGACGAGATCTTGTCCAGGTGTAGAGCTCTTGTCCAGGTGTAGAGCACTTGTCCAGGTGTAGAGCTCTTGTCCAGGTGTAATGCTCTTGTCCAGGTGTAATGCTCTTGTCCAGGTGTAGAGCTCTTGTTCAGGTGTAGAGCTCTTGTCCAGGTGTAATGCTCTTGTCCAGGTGTAGAGCTCTTGTCAGGTGTAGAGCACTTGTCCAGGTGTAATGCTCTTGTCAGGTGTAGAGCTCTTGTCAATCGAGCGCATTACCTATTGACCAGCACGCCCAAGGCGTCGATGATTATCAGCTTTGGTTTTATTCAGATCCATTCATTATTTAATGTCCGAGTCATTCATAAACTCCACTGCAACCAAGAAGAACATCGATTGCCCGCGCTGGAGCGACTGTTCAGTATACGATTAATACAGGGTTACTCTAAATAATGGACCAAATTTAATAAATGCGTATTTATTCAAGTATTAATTCAAATTAATATTCTATACCCCAATGCAAAAATAAAAGTTAACAATTTCATTTTTTATACCTTTCCAACGCGGAATTGTGCTTCGGCAATCAGTCACTTTCTGATCGTTGGGTAGGACGCATAGGAAATGAAGATCTGCCTCTACAATTCTGGCCACCGAGATCACCTGATTTCACCCCAATCCCCATGTGGCTATTTCTTATGGGGTTACGTCAAGGAAGCTGTTTACGTCCAGCATCTAGTATTCAATATTAGTACAACAACATTCAACATATGAAATCACGTTACATTTCTACAACTAAGTGCTTATTTAGGAGTTTGTGGCGTATGTAACATGACCTTGAGGTACATGACTTAGCCGAGTTGAAGGTTATGTAGTTTGTGACCTATCTTAGTTCAAGGTCACAGGGTACGTGACCTAGTTTAGTTCAAGGTTACGGGGTACGTGACCTAACTTAGTTCAAGGTTACGGGGTACATGACCGAACTTAGTTCAAGGTTACGGGGTACGTGAACTAACTCAGTTCAAGGTCACAGGGTACGTGACCTAACTCAGTTCAAGGTCATAGAGTACGTGACCTAACTTAGTTCAAGGTCACAGGATACGTTACCTAACTTAGTTCAAGGTTACGTGGCGTAAATAAACACGAAAACAAATGCTAATTTGTGACCTAACTTAGTTCAAGGTTACGGGGTATGTGACCTAACTTAGTTCAAGGTTACGGGGTACGTGACCTAACTTAGTTCAAGGTTACGGGGTACGTGACCTAACTTAGTTCAAGGTTACGGGACCTAACTTTGTTCAAGGTTACGGGGTACGTGACCTAACTTAGTTCAAGGTTACAGGGTACGTGACCTAATTCAGTTCAAGGTGGGCGTAAACAAACACGAAAACAAAGGCTTATTACTGCTCACTATTTGCATACCAAAAATAATTTATCTAATGTGACTGTTGGCTTTGATAGTGAAATGCAAGCTTGTTGACTGATCTGAAACGCTACGCATTGCTTTCAACTTCATTCGTGTATGAAAACAGAAAACACAAATGAAAGTTAGAAGTCGAACACACGACACTTACGTGCAAAATATGTAAAGAGTATAGCCGAGTGGAATGGTCATGTAATTTTTATGGGAAGGTTGAAAAAATTTATGTCCAAATTCGTTTATTATGGAGCAAAAAACATTAGAAAATTGATTTATATTTTTATATTTATTTATATTTATATTTTTTTTATATTACAAACCCTGCACGCGAGGAACCAGGTTTCTTGAAGTCCAAGAAAGACGCTTATTTTCGATCTCATCAAAGTTTACGATTAATAACATCCCCAGGCAGTTATTTCTACACGCAATACTTAATTTCAAATAATTGTGTTATGATGTAATTCAATATTTCAGTTTATTTCAACCTCCTTAATGATTCTAATCACTATAAATCATTATCCGCGCCTCATATGATGATCATTTGATGATCATATCAGCTCCTAAATCATTTATTAAACAATAAGTTTCACTGAGATCTTCATTGTTATTGTTTGTTGTTGTTGTTTGCACTGCAGCGGCTGTTGCTGCCGCACGGCTGGCACAGCGCCAGGGCTATGCTGTGTAGCTGCTATGTTGCTTCACTTTAAACATTACGACATAACATCGAAATATAATTGATAAATATTCAACATTAAACACATTCAGCAGAGATAATCAGAGATGAATGTCGAGGAATGTTGTACAGAGATCACGAGTGACAAGGTCAGGTAGGCAACAGGCCAAGGCTTGGCAGTCGCGAGTCGTGCTGCTCTTGGCACAGTTGTGCAGTGTGCTATACGCAGTGGATGTGCAGTGTGCTATACGCAGTGGATGTGCAGTGTGCTATACGCAGTGGATGTGCAGTGTGCTATACGCAGTGGATGTGCAGTGTACTGATAACAATTACCGAGTGCAGTGCGGTGCAGTGCTGGAGCATCATCCTGTGATGTTACAAAGACATTCATCCCCGCACAGCTGGTGGTGACAACTGCACCAATCACTGATGAGTAGCTGGTTAATAGTCACTCAGGAATAGTTTTTAATCATTGATAAATAATCGATTACTGATAAATAGTTGTTAGTTATCACTGACTAATATTTAGCAATAACTTATTAATAGGTAATAGTTATTATTCACTGATAAATAGAGAGTTATTAATCACTAATAAAATGTTAGTCATTCGTCACTGATGAATAGTTATCAATTACTGATAAATATATAGTTATTAGCTTCTGATAAATAGTACGCCGATGACTCAGCGTGATGACTCAGCTGATTATCATGCTGCGTCACACCACGCAATGTGTTATAGTAGCAGTGACCATAATAATTGGAATTATGCTGTTGTTATCTTGTCACACGAAATCACGCTAGTTGTCACGTCATGTGGATTCAAATTCATTGTTAAGTGAAAAGCGTAGAGTGTTGTTATCTTGCCGAGTGGAATCACGATAGGTGTTTTCTTACTGATTTTGGTTGTTTTCACGCTAAGTTATCACGTAATCATATTATGTTATCACATCAGCGACCGCTATGCTATTCTTACCTGAACATTGAGTTGGTCGGTGCGTGAGAGAAGACATTTTCCTGCAGACAAGCGATGGCGCCGCGCAGGCAGCCCGCGTCTCTGCAGGTGCGATGTGTGCAGCACTTCGTGCAGCTGCTGCACGGTCTCTGCCAGCAGCAGCCGTTTGCAGAGCAGCCCTACCCTGACCTCATGGCTGTGCAGACTGTGCTGCAGGAGAGGCTGCCACAGTCTCTGCAGGCTGTGCTAGGTGAGTGACATCCGAAAGTTTTTGGTATAATGTTGGCCATCCTCTGCTAGCTGTAGTCTTATAGCCGCAATGATTGTACAGACGATCAATTATTGTCAAGACAACTTTCGCCTTTTCAATTTATTAACAGGTAATAAAATGGGCTGAAGTTGGTAATAAATGTCGCAGCACCGATGTAAAATATAGAAACTATGTAAGGAATGGCGTAACATGAATAAAACACGGCGAAAAATATTACATATATCAGTGGCTAGTGTTGATGTAATGATAACATTCTGCCTCTGTCAAGCGATGATATTGCCGACGCGTGTTGCAGGTGAACGAACGCTGGCCTACGTGGAAGGCCTACAGATGCCGGTGACGCAATGGCACGTGCACCTCCTGCTGCAGCTGAGGGTGCGGCGGTTGTCCGTCTCAGGTTCTGTGGTCCACGTCGGGGTCTTGGACGCCGAAGACGCCTCAATGCTGCAGCAGCTGTCATTGTTCTACGGCGGTTGCGGGGACAGGGCCTGCAAAATGTACAATTTCCTCCGGGGTGCCATAAACTTGACGCACTTGCAGTGCACGGATTTCTGCAACGATGACATGCTGCAGATTGTGGCTCGCACTTGCCCACACCTCAACTGCCTGGCCCTACACGCGTGCGACGTCACCAATGAAGGAGTTATTAAATTGTGTGGTTTGAGTGAGGATATTAGGAAAAACATCGAAAGTTTGACGAATGGAGAGAATTTGGAGCCGTTGTCGGTTTGTGCTCATTCTCTAAAGCAGATTAAATTAACTATGACCAAAGTGACAGAAGCGGGAGTCGCCATCATACTATTGGTTTTGCCTGAAATCCAACTGCTCCGCGTTCCCGACATTCAAATGCAACAGTTGTTCACATTCTTAGGCAAGTTAAGGAACTGCAATGTTCAAACAAACTTGAAAGAGTTTCATTCAAGGGAAATTCTGGATGAATTCCAGTTGTCAGTCCTAGCCAGACTTTGTCCGAACCTAGAGTACGTGCAAGTGACGTTCATAGGCACAGCTGAAGTAGATATCAGGCGCTTAAGAAGTTTGGTGCAAGTTAAGAAACTCAAAGGCGTCAAACTCGGCGATGTGAACAGTGAAGCGCTGATTTGGTTCATGGAGGAAATGGGCAGTAAGATGGAGCTGCTACACCTCTTCACTTACCACACCAGATTCTCTCAGGAAAAGTTGCGCATGACGCGACGACATCTGCAGAGTTTAGCTCGATGTTGTCCCGTCCTGAACACCCTCAACATCGACGGCTACAGTCTTGACGAAGACGAACTCCCCATCACTGACGACTTGCAGTACTTTCGAGCCCTGCAGCATTTGCAGTTGTGGTCAATACGACTCACCGAGAGCGACGTAAGAGTTTTTCTCTCCAAATGTTGGCATATCCAAGCACTGGATATTGTGTTACTGAATCCTTTTGTCCTGCAGGACCATTTAATTAACCAGTTCATTGACTCTGGGGTCTGGAAGGATCTTGTCAAAGTTAGGATCTTGAACTCGCCCATCACGTATAAGGTCCTGGGGAAGCTGGTGAAGGAGTGTCCTCGGCTGCGAGAGTTGGGTTGTCTCTACACTTGGTTGATATCCAAGTGTCAGGTCACCGAATTCAAAAATATGGTGCGGCTTGAAAACCTAGATCTAGAAATATATTAAGCTGTAGATTTCCGTCTGGAGCCATACTAGCCATTTTAGTATTACTTAATATTTAGAACTATTCCCTATGCTAGATAATGTTAATATATCTAGATATTTATTGCGATTATGGTGTTTCATGTTGTTATATATACGCTTACGTCATGAGACGCTTAGCTGATTATATTTATTTATGTCGTGTACTTCCCTGTATATCGTAAAAATGTAAGCACCCATTCACTTTTATCGTATTGCTTGCGACGTCTGCAAGAAGTTGCTATGTGCTAGAAGCTAGAATGTGAATCGAAGTGAAATATTCTAAACAATCTCTATCGAAACGACAATTTTCATCTTAATTTCATTTTATGTTGGTTTGTGCAAAAAAAATAATAATTTGTGTGTTTTTCGACTTATTGAAAATACCCGCGCTATTTCTTTGCGGTAACTGCTTTCTTTTCTCCAGCGAAGCGAGAGGCTGAATTTGCTTACCTCAAACCAATGCTTATTATAAGGAATGGGTTGCTTCTTCTTCAGGTTCCCATCGTATTATGATGAAAATAATTTTTTGTGTTTTCCAGGTTCAGTTCTGTTTTTGAATGCTTTAGTTATTTAGTATATAAGTCGATTCAAGAAGTCTTGGTTACATGGCGTCATGTTCATCAGTTCAGCCGTTACGATCGGTTATCTCCCCGCACAAGCTCTTGCTAAAGCTGTAGGGTGCTCGAAGGTATGTGTAATTTCAGCCTATTGTATATGAAGTCAATTGTGTACTTCAAAGTTCAACTTGATTACTGCTCTATATAAAGTGGAGGAATGCGAGATATTTTCGTTTCCATTAAAAATCGTGGTGGTCTTCGGCGGTACAGCTGAGTTTAAGGCACTCAGAGATCCAACCGAACTTCGAACGACTGTACATGCGGCAAATTTCAGTTCCGGACTATTGAGAAAGAATAAATCGAACGAACAAACATTACTTTTGGAGACTAAAATTTCGCTAATTATCATCAACAAAATCATCTCGTTTTGTTCAAACGTACTCTGCTGGTCTCCCATGGGGAGCGCGCTGTCCTCGCTCCCTGGTGGTGGTAGACTCTAGTAGCCGTGCAAGTACAAGGCATTGAGAACAACGCGCGAACATTTGTGACTCGTTTACTTGAAGCAACTTTCGTAGATATAGAATACTTAGAAACACTTCTAAGTAAGCATATGTGAAAATAATAAACTGAAGTAACTTAGCACCAACAAATATATATTAAATTTCTCCCGGATAAACTGCGTAGTCATATATAACATTTTATGAATGGAGTATACGATTGCTGGCACGGATAGGTATAACACCCCCTTCATGCAAAAGATTGTGAAGTGCAGCAGTGCAATTCTGACCCGAGTTGAAAATAACCAAGATGGTAATGGGAGTTAACTTATGCTGTGCTCAAATAAACCTGTACAGGGCGCACTGTGATAACAACGCTTGGGACCAGTTGCAAGACTAATTGTTTTGAAAGATGCTACTCATCGAGAATCATGTTCAATACAATAAAAAAAATACAAAATTAGACACTAATAAATGTTGTAACGCTTTCATCAATGATAATACTTCGTTGTGACAGATTCATGTGATACAGGTGCACAATAACGATAGCCGGCATCCAAGCGACCACTCGGGCCTTGACGTTGACTGGCTTGATAAATTAGTATTATTTTTTTAGTCAAGTGAGACAAGCGCGCCAGTGTTCCGACTTTGGGTAGGAATGCCCATACATGATGATGCTCAACATACAAGATGCTCAATAAAGATTCTAACAATTCCAGAACACAACAAATGCTGAAATTGATGAAATAAAATTATCCTTACCCTGAGGTCAGAATGTTCAATGAGATCGTCAAGGTTTTTCTGAAGAGTCAAGTGAACAAGCTGACACTAATGCGGCAATTCTCAATAAATAGCGATAAATCTAAACATAGATTGTGAAACCTTGAATAAACATAAACAGTTCAGCGGCATGGCCAGGAAATTAAAGCTCGTGCTTGGGCATGCCTGAAGTGGTGAGGCTGGGGGTGCCCTCCGGGGGCACCGCCATGCGCTCCGTCGGTTGCCGGTCGCCGCCTTCAGCGCCACTGGTCACCAGAACGCTGCTGCTGCTGGGGTCTTCCGGAACAACCACTGAGATGGTGCGGTCGGCCGAATCCCGCTGAGGGTAGTCACTGTCCTTGTCAGAGGGCGGTGTTCCACTGGGTTTCTTGTCTTGTCCTTTGTTGGTCGCGGGTTTCGGAGTTGGCAAGGATTTGGCAGATGCGGCGTGGGCCTCCCTCGCCTTCATGGTCTCGACGAGGCTCGTGTCGACCCACGACGTCATGTTCAGGGCGGGCACTTCAGAGCACGGCACCGCGGGGTTCCTGCTCATCGTCTCATACTACATATCTAAGCTCGCTGACGTCATGTTTTCCAACAAAATTTACAAAAGTAAAACAGCACGGCAAGAAGAAACAAATAATAGCTAAATTTCAATTCCTAGTAGAGAATTCTGTTCGAGTTATTAGTTATTACAGCTTTAATCGAGTTTTGTTCAAGGCTCAAATTTCTAATAGCAAGATGCTCACGTGGGGGAGATGGGCAGGAAGGCGTGGCGGGGCACGGTGTGCAGGGGCAGGTTGTGGCACAGCAGCGATGCAAGCGTCACGTTCTTGATGGCCTCCTGCATGGGTTCCGTCATCATCGCGGCCTCGAATTCCCAGAAGAGTTTGTTGCCCGTGCGCAGCCGCGCGAACTGATCAGCCTGCCAGCACAAGGTGCCTTAAATAAAGCAGTCTTTCGCAATAAAACACAGAGAAAATTTCTAGTAAGTAGGAAATGTTTACATTGAAACGGGATTGTAGAAAAAAATATAACTCAGTACTCACTGCAGTGAGTGACAGAGAGCGCATTTTCTCGTCGACGAGAACTCGAGATCACTGACGGACGGACAGACAGACAGACTGACAAATAGACGGACATTGCGAGCACAATAGTGTTTTTTTTCCATAAATGAGAAAATGCGCTAAAAAGAGCCTAAAGCCATTCTAAAACATTGGCTTCTAAACATAATTCTTCATTATTTATCTATACACTAATGCGTCCTTCCCATCATCCTCCATGGTGGATTTCAACTTGGCGGCTTCAAGTATTGCCGAGACATGGACACAACATAGTGACCGTCATTAGCAAAACGTGTCCCGAGCCATTCGATGACGATGAGCCCAGCATTATTGAGGCCAGCATTAGTGAGGCCAGCATTAGTAAGGCCAGCATTAGTGAGGCCAGCATTAGTGAGGCCAGTATTAGTGAGGCCAGCATTAGTGAGGCCAGCATTAGTAAGGCCAGTATTGGGTAAGGCCAGTAATAATTCAATATAGGACCCCATAGGACGTACCATGATACACGCGAAGGTCTTGCCCACGACGCCGCCCTCCTCGGGGGGCTCCAGAAGGGCCAACATCGCGTCCACGTCGAGGATGTTCCTTAACAAAATATACAGTACCTATACCAGATAATACAATAAATGTGATAATTAATTTTAATACCAGAGTTGTGAGCGATCAAGAAAAAAATTGANATACAGTACCTATACCAGATAATACAATAAATGTGATAATTAATTTTAATACCAGAGTTGTGAGCGATCAAGAAAAAAATTGATGGAAAGCCCGAATTTGGTTCAAGAGTAACAAGGAATCTAATCGTTACTCAATAAATTCATTCATATTAATACCAACATCAGAACAGAATTGAGGTTGCTGGCAATACATTAGTCCTACGAACCTTACAAGTCGAAGGACAGCAAGACACGACCACTTGTACATGGCAGGTAAGACACGACCACTTGTAGATGGCAGGCAAGGCATGACTCACTTGTACACGGCAGGCAAGGCATGACTCACTTGTAGTGCAGCTGAAGGTCCTCCGTGAGCGCGTCGCCGAATATCTGCCTGAGGTCGTCCCAAGTCTCCAGCACGAGGCCAGGGTCGCAGAACCGACGCCAGGACACGTAGCCGGCCAACCCTGTGGGTCACGGGTAACAGTTTACAATTAACCTTCAACATTTGACGGATGAACTGTGAACAATTAAGTTGCGTATCAATACCAAACTACAGCATTGAGGACTTGAATGTTGTAGGTAGTTATCTTACTGAACCCACTTCAAGACCAGTCACACCCTAGTGTCCCATCAGTCTCTCCAACCTACCGTGGTCACGAGCCCTGTGAAGGTCGGCCGCCAAGAGGTCCTGCGTCGGGAGGTCGGCGAGGAAGTCGTAGTGCGCGGAGCCCAGCACCTCGTGTCTGCCGGGGGCTGAGGAGTGCCACACGGTCGCCATCTGCGGGGCAATGACGGCTGTTACAAGACAGGCAGCTGTTACAAGCAGGTGGTCGAGACATGTAGCTGTTACAAGCAGTTTTGGAGCAGATGCTAGCAGGTACCATCTGTCTAGTTATCTTAGACACGAGTCCGACATCACTACCACTCCCCAGCCCAGCGTCCGACATCCCTACCACTCCCCAGCCCCGGGCCTGACATCACTACCACTCCCCAGCCCCGCGCCTGACATCACCACCATTCCTCAGCCCCAGCGTCCGACATTACAACCACTCGCCAGCCTCTTGAGTCTAGTGCACCAAAATACTTGTAACATGCATAGTGCATACCGCAGGATTTCTGAAAGCGGCGAGAGCGAAGGAGTTCAGGACCCCAGGGATAACCTCCTTGATGTAAGCAGCAGCAGGGCCCTTGGTGCCCGGCAGCAGCTGGTGCTTCTCCACGACCTGCGCGCCCATTAGCGAGGGCAGGTATTCTCCGTACGTGATCCGCTGGTAAATCGCCAGGACCACGCGTCTGCTCAATTCTCTCTGTTAGTACGGTTGCATGTCTGATGCCATTTTATTAATAAATACCACGCACAGCAACCACATACAGCACCACGCACTGCAACCACATACAGCACCAGGCACTGCAACCACACAGAGCACCATGCACTTAGTGTACTGGGATCGCAGTTCGAATCGGTCTTCTGTAACCCCCGCTACTTAAGGGAGGAGCATGAAATCAAAGTTCTCCAGGAGCTGCGAGGCGGAAGAGGGTTGGAGAACATTGAGTTTGGGCCAGAAGATATGGAAGTAAGTATCAAAGAATTGGCGACGTTTTCAGCAACAGGACCGAATGGAATTCCGGCAGTGCTGTTGAAGTGTGTTGGAACTCTGAAGGCCCCGCTCACAATGCTCTGGAAAGCTTCGATGATGGAGGGAATTATTCCTGAGGGCCTAAAAGTGGGACTGATAACGCCAATCCATAAAGGACGCTCGAGGGACAGACCTTAAAATTACAGACCGGTGACCTTGACCTCACAGGTGATCAGTTTTTGAGAAGGTAGTGATCAGGAGGCNACGGTACAGCAGCACAACATCTAACTCACACACTGTGTAGTGTACGGTACAGCAGCACAACATCTAACTCACACACTGTGTAGTGTACGGTACAGCAGCACAACATCTAACTCACACACTCTGTGTAGTATACGGTACAGCAGCACAACATCTAACTCGCACACTCCGTGCAGTGTTAGGCACTGCAGTACAACGGACTGCAGAACAAAGGATAAAATTATATATGAAAAGTAAAGATTAATTTTACTTGACCTAGAATAAATTTAATTGGAAAATAAAGAAGTCGAGTTCCCTTAAAAAAATTACTCAAAAGGGAGTTCAGGGCAGAAGGTGAGTTTGAATGGGTTCAAACTCCTATATTCTATCTTCAATAATAGTAAAGTCATTTAAAAAGTATCAAGAGGCTTCGAAATGACCAGTCTTGGGAATAAATGTTTTCTCAACCTGTAAATATGCTCTAGCCTGGGCAAGGTCTGGCTGTCAGCTAGTTTACTGTAGAACTCACACTTACGTAACTAACGCTTGGAAACTTTCGTCCACTATTCCGACGTTAAATGAATAGAAATACGGAATTCAAATTGGCAGACCTCACTCAGAGAAATGAGCAAGACTTTGTCAAGTAGTGATGGACTTTTTGCCCTTATGTGCATCATCCTGACCCAGTTTGGTCCCGCAAAAAAAAAAGATATCATTGCAAAGTCCGCTCTCTGCTCGTGATGTGTATCCATAGTATTTGTTTGGGACGTAGCAGTCCCAGGCCACGATGAATCGCCGGTAAGAAAGTGTGTCAAAATTTGGTCAATATAACCCACTAATTTATCTGGGTATTCACCACGTCAGAGTCGCCCTCCGCTGGAGCGAAGCAGCCGTCCCAGGAATCGGGCGCCCGGCAGCCTGGCGACGACTCCTCCAGCCTCTCCACGCCCCTGCACGCGGTAAGGCTTTATAATGAACGCTCAAAAGACGGTGCTCGTAATTAGGGAACCATCACTCAAGGAAGTTGGTCATAGTAAAAAAAAACGTGCACTTTTTCTTATGCCTCTCCGGTCCTTTGGTGAGTCGTCCTGACACAATTTAACTCGCAAAAAGGACGGCGTTTTGCTCACTCTATGCTCATGCAGTCTAAAAAAACAAGCAGCATTCCTTTGAAATTGGCCCGCTTATTTCTTTGAATGAGGCCTACAATGGGTTTATTTAAAATATATTTCTCCAAAAACATCTCTTAAAACTAGGAAAATTATTTCATTTTGGAGTTTCAGTAATTCTGCGAGTTTTGCTTGAAGCCCACAACAAGCGCACCGAGATTAGCATCAATAACACAATAAGTCTGCAGCCACAGACACACGCAGACATTATACAGACAAAACACATTGTCTTTATTTAACCATCCTTAGTTATTATTCCACAGACCCAGAAAGGTAACTCACTTGAGGAGGCCGAAGTACCCTGTCTTCCTGGTGAAGGCGATGTCGTTGGTGCTGCCGTAGAGCGGGTTAGCGTCCAGGTATGTGGACACGAGCGACACGGACTCGCGGTGACCTGCACCATAGGTAGGGTCATGCCGCTATGCATATCATTAGTGTGCACATCGTTAGTGGACACATCATTAGTGTGCACATCGTTAATGGACACATCATTAGTGTGAGCGTCATTAGTGTGAACATCATTATTGTGAACATCATTAGTGGACACATCATGACAATGTTACTGGTGATGTACATGCTGCCTCACGTATAATCACCATGTGTGGCGCCAACAGCCCTCATACAGCACGGCACCATCGATGGAATGCCTCAATACATGCAGTAAAATGACTTATTTCATACGCAGAAAGTCAGCAGCAAATGCTGCAAAAAACAGGAATTAATGTGACTGGCAGAAGGCTCAAGTCAACTATAATAATCGCCGAAAAAGTAAAGAATATAACTCAGTAATCACTGCAGTGAGTGACAGAGAGCGCATTTTCTCGTCGCCGAAAACCTGAAGTCACGGACGGACGGACGGACAGATAGACTGACGGACGGCGGACATGGCGAGCACATTAGTGCATTTTTTTCCATAAATGAGAAAATGCGCTAAAAATGATATTCTAACGTTGTTGGACAAATGAGACTGACCTAAGATCGCCTGGCCACGAGCAGAGCGCTTAAAATTGAGACAGGATTCCTGGGGTTGAGATTTGGGGTCCTGGAGGTCCTCCTGAGGATCAAGGAGAGGAAAGCAGTCCTCAGCGAGGGGGGTCTTGCAGCAGTCCACGCCTTCGGCCAGGGGACTTTCCTGGAGCCCACATCATACATTACACATAGATCATGACTACGCAATGCATAAGTGTCTACATATACATAAGTGCCTTCTGGGAATATAAACCATGAAAGGAAGATCTGAGAAATATTTAATAGTGCACCTCATTAATGCCATTTTAAAAAACTTGAGTATTTATTCACACATTTTTACAAGTTTGAGATGAAATAATGATTATTTAGAAGTCATAGGTGAGAGTTAATGATGCTGAAATGTGAGTCAGGGGTTAGAATTATTCATGTTGAAGAGTGAGTCCCGGGTTAATATTTATGCAGCAAGGCAGCGGCAGGACTCACAGGGATGCTGAAGACATCCTGCTGCAGGAAGTGGGCCCAGGAGGCGAAGGCGGCGGTGCGGGGGGCGGGCTGCAGGTGGCGCTGCAGGAGCGAAGACACCCTCACGGCGCTCGGCAGGGAGGAGCCGTCAGACGCCGTGCGTGGCGAGAAACCTGTACGGGTTTTGGGGTGGTTTTAGTGATTCAAAAGCTGCACAAGTTTCCCCTTTATTTTGAGAAGGCTGATATCCGCACGGGCTTCATTTTGGTGTTAACGGGGCCCGCCACAAGTGCAGTTCAATGAAGAAGGCTGGCAATGCCTGACCAGAGTCAACACAGACCGAGCAGGGACAGAGCAACTCAGGAGCTGATACCAGGAAAAGATACTAATGGCTTATTGTTTGAGGCAGGGGAGGAGGGTTTCTCTTCTGATGTTAATACATCAGGCAATTATGTCACAAAGGACTTGCATGGATACATCACAATGCATATTGTGTATCAATAATGCCTAACGATCTAAAAATTATAACTCAGTACTCACTGCAGTGAATGACAGAGATCGCATTTTCTCGTCGACGAAAGCGTGAAATCACGGATGGACAGACAGACAGACGGACGGACATGACGAGTTGAACACATCTGTATATCTAGGTTACATATAAGTATACACTATAAAGGTTTTGCATACATCATTTGTATGGGTTATCTATACAGGTTATGAATACATCACAGATCTGAATATCTTTATAGGAGGGAGATTTTGGTTGCAACAAATTAGTGCAGTCTGCAGACATAGACATGGTCTGCACAGCAAGTGTACAGCGCAGATGGTAGGCATGACGAGACAAGTTATACATTGGCTATAACCATGAAAAATTTCATATCAATAATAACCCAGCACATGAAACGATCCTAAGCTAAAAGAACTAACATTCTTGAGGTGCCCTGGGAAGAGCTTGTAGGATGGAGACCCAGTCTGGTCCTCCAGCTGCCATCTAGCAAGAATTTCATCCTTGACACTGGCATAGGCCTGGTAGGGCAAGGCTCCTCCTGACCGCGCAAAACCAACTTCAAAGCAGTCATCTGCCACATCTGCTGCCACGCCTGCAACACATTGCATGGTCAGTAGTGTCATTTACACTTTATTGTTTAGAATGACTAATTACATTTGCTCTAATGACACAGAAAAACTGGATAATACATTGATGCTGGCAGCCAAGTATGATGACTTCATATGAAAGGATCCTTGCAGGCAAGGAGAAGAGGATTTTTTTAGGGGATATACATAGATGAAGCAGTGATCTCCGACAAAAAATACTGAGAATATAAAAGCAGTTACCAAGGTAAAGTAATCTGCCTTAATATACTGTTAATTTTACATTGTTTGAAGGTGATAAAATTAGTAACATGATGAAATATGTCTTGATGAAATAATGCAGACTAATTTATGAACACAGGCACAGCAAATTAAAGAAATATGAGATTGAAAAAACTTCAGGCCCCTAACTGGTTCAACTATTTCCTGGTGACCCTAGAAGCAATTAGAAGAATTTAAACTAAATATCTTCAGGGTAAGTACATACATATATATATTTAGGTATATATATTTTACACTCTCAAGTACTTGCCTTGTACCACCAAGTTTTTTTTTGAGACTTGAAAAAGAATTTAGCTGTAATTGACAAAATAGAATTGGATCTTTATTTTCAAACACTCAAAACCATAAATGCATTAGCTGATTAAAGAATGAACTGACTTAGGTCTAACAAATGTTAAGGAATAAGAATTTAGGTATTAACCCAAACATTAATGCAAACATTGCCAAAGCACTTACGTTGCCAGCCTTTAATAGAAATATCCATATTAGCACATAACTGGACAACATCTTTTCAATAAGATCAAAACAGCATTCAAGTTTCTGTGTTAATCAAACTCTGCAAATTGCAGTTATGATCAGTATTACACTTTCATTGACAAGCTTCAAGTTATGAGCAGACTTGTCACTTTATATAGCACCTCATCTGGTAGCCTTTGGGATTTGCCTGGGATCTCTAGCCTCAAGGTTCATCAACTATTTGCTAAAATTGAGTGTGAAAGGATATGGGTTGAGGGTATGGAAGAATGAAATAGAGAAAAAGGAAATAAAAGCAGCATCAAAGTTAGAGATGCAAAAAAAAACGTTTTTTTTTTTTTTCAGAGTGTTTTTTTTTAGTAAAAAAAACATTTTTTTTATGTGTTTTTTTTGTTTTTTATTGTTTTTTTTTCTTTCGTGTATTTATTTGGGATCAATATATCTATACCCTTAATATACATTGAAATGATGTGTTTTTAAATCTTATTTAACATATCTCATGTGTGATTTATAATGTATCAAGCCTAATACTTCTAGTTCAAAGCTTAAAATTGCAACAATGTTAACTAAAAGAAGATGCAATATACAAGGATGACGCAATAACCCGCGCAGCTCACTGACTGGCGGCCTGGAAGGCTGGAACAATGTTAAATAAAAGATGATGTAATATGCAAGGACGATTTAACAAGCTGCGCGGGACGCGGCGCCGCCTGGCAGCCTGCACCTGCTACGTTTATTGAAAGATGATGCAATAGGCAAGTAGCTATGATGCAATACAAATGACTTTGCTGTCATTCAATGATATTAGGAATTTTAAGATACAGCATAGACCTGTATCCTATCATCCTGTGGCCCTCAGGTAAAGTGATTATGGATTTATTTGCATTTATTTATGTTTTTCTAAAGAAAAACAATAAAAAACATGTTTTTTTTAGGCTGATGTTTTTTATTAAAAAAACTTGTTTTCTATTAAAAAAAAACATGAGTGTTTTTTTTACGTCGCATCTCTAAATTCAAAGTATGAATGAATGTATGATGGAAGTAGAGGTGGGGACTCACTGTTTTGTGTGAGGGCACAGCATTGTGCATCAGCTGGCCCAAATGAGGGCTTATGAGCAATAATCAGAGGCAGCAATCCATTGTGGCCTGGGACTGCTACATCCAAAACAAATATCAAGGATACCAAGGGTTATGGGTATGAATAGGATGCACATACAGGTGGAATGAGAAATGTTTTAATAGTGGTAATAGCAGTTTCAGTGATTAGTAGGCCGTTGGCCTATCGCCGATTCTTAACATTGCAGAACATTCATAGCATTTTGCAGTCTTGAACTGGCAACTCACTGCTACAATTCTGCTGTGCTTAACTGTCTGACCTCCTTGCCAATTCTGACCAGAAACTGGCGCACAGAGCTGGGATCGAACCCAAGCCTCTCTGCTCCAATCCTGGCACTCTGAACTTTAACCACTGGGCCACCCTGCCACCATGTATATGTATTTATGTATGATGAGGATGAAAAGGATACTGTGCTGTGTTTGAGGGTAGATTAGTAGAACGTGGGCAACAGAATGAGAGCGAGACATGCTACAACGGAGATGATTATGAATGAGGTGCGGTGGTAAGAAAGATTAAGTGGAGTTTGCAAGAACAAGTGAGGAGTGGATTGTAATGATTGTGTGTTTATCTAAAGGGGCAACTGTGGCTGTGATTGCAAGTGGAAAAAGATATCTTAAAAGCATGTGGAGAAGAGAGTAGAAGTACAGCAACAGTGGAGTGTTAAAGAGTGGCAAGTGGGTGAGGGGATCAGAAGGCTGAGTTAGTTAAGAAAAATATTGTTATTGTTATTTCTGTCAACTAGGATCAATGCCAATATAACAGAATACTTTAGTCTCTTCTCACATCATATAGTCTAAACACGAATATCCTCTCGAGGATGACGTGCATTAAAGGTTCCAACCCCTGCTTGTGAGTTCCTTTAGAGTTTATACGCCTGGAAACGTGCAACAAATTATTGATTATTGTATTGTTATTGGGAGCTGAGCTTCCCTAAAAGTTTCAGAGCGAGCTAATGGGAAAGTTGGTGAAATATCGATTGCAAGATTTGATCATCACAGACACGAAAGCGAGCTAAGAAAAACGTGGTAAAAACATGTCTTTTGACCAAGGGATATTTTTAAAAATGAGTTAAATGACTATAGTTTTCAATAGCTCCTAGACTTCTACTAGGTTTAATATGGTGCTAGGCATATCAAGTCTGAACATATATTTCTCCATAGCTTTATCTAGTCTGTTCTTGAATTAGTTCATGCTCGGAGCATCAATGATGTAATCAGGGAGGCTGTTCTACATGCAGGTTGCAAAGCAGTTTTTTTTACTTATAGCCATGGCCCATGGTGTTGGTTCTTGTTTCAAATTCCAATCAGTTACATCAGTACCTATAGTAAATACTTCTAACTCACATTGCATAGTTGCCATATTTAGGGTTTTTTGAATAAACTTATGTATGCCATGCCAATGACTGGATTAAAGGTCTAACCAGAGGTTTACACCTCAATTCTGAATTCAAAATATCACAGCTCCACCAAGTTAGGTATTTTGTAATAGTGTAAAATCATGCAGCAGAATCATGTAGTTTTATAACCCAACTAGCAGGTTAGCCTGCCTGGCATTGCCTCAGCTTGATAATTACTACAATGTTGAAAACAGAAAACGTGTTAGTACAATTACACAGAAATTTCCTTAATCCTATTAGTGATTAGTCATTTATTCATTGTGATCATTAAACTTGTGTATTCTAATTAAATAAAACCCATTTGTTAAAAATTAAATTTTTTAACCAATCCTATCCTACAACTGGCTACAAGGCTCCTACCAAGAACAAAATTTCAGAGCCAGGATCCAATAATTTCAGATTCTGACATGAAATTATTGCAGATTCATGCAAAAAAAGCCCCTATGGCAGGATGGAATTCTAAAATTTACAGTTCATATATTATTTTCGCTACACCTAGACCAGTTTTTCGATACAACATTATTTGAGGCAAAAAAATTAACTTCTTATAGGCTTAAACACGTATAGGTAAAGGTATAAAAAGTTTCTATAAAGTAATCACTCAACTTGGAAATGTTGCATGTCTGCAGGGCAGCTTGCACTCAACAATTAAAATTATAAAAAGTACTAGTTCGTTAAAGATTTGTCTCTTAATGTGACAGCAAAGAACTTTTCCATGATGCACACAATAAACACGCAATTCATGGGACTGATGGGAGCAAGACTACACAGAACAACGAAAGTAAGCTCCCGGCATGCATCTGACAGAAACGAATGACGATCGCGGATGCGGCAGCACAA